GGACCATAGAAAAGACGTGGATTTTTTCAAAAATATTTTTAAGGACTCAAATGGACCAACAGTTCTGGATTTTTTAATATTTTTTTAGGACCATCGATGAGACGTGGATTTTTTAAAAATAATTTTTAGGGACAATTAAAAGTAGACGTATTTTTTAAAAATATTTTTAAGGACCCTAGAAGAGACGTGGATTTTTTAAAAATAATTTTTAGGGACCGTAGAAGAGATGTGGATTTTTCAAAAATACCTTTAAGGGCCCTAGAAAAGACGTGGATTTTATAAAAATATTTGTAAGAATCCTAGAAGAGACGTGGGTTAATTAAAAAAAAATATTAAAGTCCCTAGAACGGACGTGGATTTTTTAAAAATTTTTAAAGAACCCTACAATAGACGTGGATTTTTTTAAATTTTTTAAAGGACCCTAGAATAGACGTGGATTTTTTTTTAATTTTTTGAAGGACCCTAGAGTAGACGTGGATTTTTTTACATTTTTTGAAGGACCCTAGAATAGACGTGGATTTTTTTACATTTTTTGAAGGATCCTAGAACAGTCGTCGATTTTTTAAAAATAATTTTTAAAAATGATTTTTAAGAAACCTAGAATAGACGTGGATTTTTTAAAATTTTTTGAAGGACCTTAGAACAGACGTCGATTTTTTAAAAATACTTCTTAAAAATACTTTTTAAAAATTATTTTTAAGGACCCTGGAAAAGACGTGGATTTTTTAAGAATATTTTTTAAAAATGTATTTTTAAGAACCATTGAAGGGACGTGGATTTTTTAAACATATTTTTAGGGACCATTGGAGGGACGTGGATTTTTTAATATATTTTTTAAGAACCATCAAAGAGACCTGGATTTTTTTAATTATATTTTTTAAGAACCATCAAAGAGGCCTGGATTTTTTTAAAAATAATTTTTAGGGACCATTGAAGGGACATGGATTTGAAAAAAAATAATTTTTAAGGACCGTCGAAGTGACGTGTATTTTTAAAAACTATCATTTTAAGGACCGTCGAAGTGACGTAAATTTTTAAAAAATATTTTATAAAAACCATCGAAGGGACGTCGATTTATATTTAATGTGTTTATAGACCATAGAAGAAACGCGGTTTTTTTTAAATTATTTTTTAACGACAATCGACGGGACAAGGATTTTTTAAGGGTCATCGAAGTGACATGGATTTTTAAAAATATGTTTCTAAGACCTGGCATTTTTTTAAATATTTGTCAAGAACCAGCGAAGAGACGTAGATTTTTTTTCAATTCATTTTTAAAATACTTTTTGGATTTTAAAAATTTTATTTAAAAGCCGTTGAAGGGATGGGGATTTCTAAAAATAATTTTCAATCGCAAATTGAGCAGAAGTATTTTTCATAGATGATTTCAAAGCGTTATACGATTATCTAGTCTCGGGCTTCTTTCTACTTCTTGTTAACATGGATTTTAAGGAATTCAATAGTGTATCTAGAACTCCATTTACTATTTTTTAAATTTGTTTTTAAAAGGATTATCAGAATTTTTTGAATACACATCTTCAAGAACGTGATTTTTTGAATTTATTTTTTCAAGAACTATCAGGCTTCCAAGTTTGATTTCATTTATTTAAAAAAAAATATTTTCTTGATATCTTTAAGAGGTCTGCAATTTTCTTTTTTTATTAATTAATTAATTCTACAAGGAATATCTCGATTCCATTTCTAAATTTTTAAAGACATTTTAACATGGATCCTCAAACCTCTAATTGTGCATGTTTTTTAATGTTTAGTTTTCCAAGGACTACCATGCCTTTGATTGGGAGTTTTTGGAAATAATTTCTTTTTAAGGATTATTATATCTTCATTCGATTTTTTTGGAATTATTATACCTCCACATTCAAATTTCTTTCCAACATTCTTTGAAACCACTGTTCCCCTCTGTCATTGAACAACAGTTCGGGTTTTTTTAATTTTCCATTTTTCCATTCGTCGGCATTATCATCAATTCCAGATCATCAGCATTATCATGGTTTAACAATTATGCTGCTGTTGTTTAATTTAAATATATTATTTTGTAACGGTAATTAATTCAAGTTGTTTCCTCATCACTCGCCTCCCCCCGCTTTGAAGTGCTCCAGCAAACCCGAATATCGTCACTGCGACATTATCTCTGTCATCTCTGGCCGCTCGCCACACAGAAGCGTAGACTCTGCCGGACGGTCTATTTTCCATTTCTGTGAGTTATGACACCCTCCCCACTACCACCCAGCAATTCAAGTTTAATTTCCACACTAACGCACACACTCTCACAAAAAATGTGTTGCAACTTCACATTAAGCCAAACCATAACAAGTTGCATTCTTGTCACATCGCTGCCGCCGCAGCTGTTCCTGACGCTGCAGATGATGATGTTAATTAATACGAGTAGTAGTGGTTGAAGAGGTTGGCAACACCACCATCACCAACGGCAGCTTGGTTGGGAAAATTCAATTTTAATTATTTGCAAAATTTGTTGTTGCTGTTGTTGGCTGTTGTAATTATTTTGTGTTTGTTTTTCCACTGTGGTTGGCCTCAACATTTCACAACATTCTCATTAAAATGTCAACCGATGACACTTGGGAGCTGTGGCAGGGGTGCAACGGGGTGGTCCTTTGATACATATTCATTATGCGAAAATATTGCAACAAATTATCTCATATCCTGTAATTAGTTAATGTCATTTGGGACATTATTTGGAGGGTTTTTATCAAATTTATTTTGGGGAGAAATTTAAACATGACATTTAATTGTGTGCGAAGGATGCGAATGTTAAAGGAGATCGGAAAACAGTTCTAGCCTAATAATTCATGACAAGACCTATTCTGTTGATAAGAATAAGAGGTATTTTATGAGAAGACCTGTTGGTTCTCGTTTAATAGGTTTTCGGATCGTATATAATGGGTCTTATTGCCTTCCTTAAAAAATAGCTATTTATATTCTTTGAGGAGACCTTTTGGGCATCTCTGAGAAGACCTTCTGGGCTTCTCTGAGAAGATCTTCTGGGCTTCTCTGAGAAAACCTTCTGGCTTCTCTGAAAATACGTTTTAGCTCTGAGAGGCCTTTCTGGTCTTCTTTGAGAATAACTCCTTTTGGCCTTCTATGAGAAATCTTCTGGCCTTCTATGAGAAGACCTTCTGGCCTTCTATGAGAAGATATTTGGCCTTCTCTGAGAAGACCTTATGGTCTTCTATGAGTAGGTCTTTTATATTCTATAAGTGAAACTTCCGGGCTTCTGAGAGAAGTTTCCCAGATTTTTGAGAAAATACCTCCTCTGAAAAGACATTCTGACCTCCCCTGAGGAGATATTTTGGCCACCATGAGTAGGCCTCTTGTTCTCTGAAAATAGATTTTTATAATCTCCGAGAAGACCTTCTGGGCTTCTCTGAGAAGACCTTATGCCCTTCTCTGTGAAGACCTTATGGCATTAGCTGTGAAGACATTATGGCCTTCTCTGTGACATTATAGCCTACTCTGCGAAGACCTTATGGCCTTCTCTGTGAAGACCTTCTGGCCTCATCTGAGAGGAGACCTTCTGACCTTCTCTGAGAAGACCTTCTGGCCACCTCTGAGAACATACCTTCTGGCCTCCTCTGAGAGGAGACCTTCTAGCCTTATCTGAGAGAAAACCTTCTGGCCTTATATGAGAGGAGACCTTCTGGCCTCCTCTGAGAATAGACCTATTAGCCTCCTCTGAGAATAAACCTTCTGGTCTTGTCTGAGAAGAGACCTTCTGGTCTCATCTGAGAGAAGACCTTCTGGCCTCATATGAGAGGAGACTAACTGGCCTTCCCTGAGAAGACCATCTGGCCTTCCCTGAGAAGACCTTCTGGTCTCCTCTGAGAAGACTTTCTGGCCTTCTAATAGATGATCACCTATGCGACGGCCTGGTCTTTTTGAGAAGGGCTTTTGGATTTTTTTGAGAAGCCTCTTTGGTCTTTTTTGAGAAAACATTCTGGCTTTCATTGAAAATACCTTCTGGTTTTCACTGAGAAGAACTACAGAACTTCTCTAAAAAGACCTTCTGGTCTTCTTTGAGAAGACCTTCTGGCTTTCGTTGAAAAGGCCTACTTTGGAAAGGCCGTCTGACTTTGTATGAGAAGAGCGTATGGCCCCCTCGAGACCTTCTATGAACAGAACTTGTATCTTCTATAAGAGGACCTTTCGGGCTTCTAAGGTAGGATTCCCAGTCCTTTTGAGAAAATACATCTCCTGTGAAGTCATTTTGGCCAGCTTGAGAATGTCTCTTGACCTTCATGCGAAAGACTCCCTGAGCCCCTCTGAAAAAGCCTTACGGCATCCTCTTAGAAGACATTCTGGCCTTCAACAGATGATTTTCATTTTTTTTTTTGGTTTTCTTTGAGAAGACATGCTGGCCTTCGCTGAGAAGACTATCTAAGAGGATCTTCTCATTTTATTATGAAGACCATCCGGCATTCTATGAGTAGACCTTCAGATCTTCTTTGAGAATACTTTCTGACCTTCTCTGGAAAAACCTTCTTATATTCTGCGAAAAAAACCTTCTATCCTTCCATAAGTCAATTTTCTGATTTTTTATGTGAGGACCTTCGGACCTTCTTTGAGAAGTTCGTGCCTTCTATGAACAGAACTTCTGGCCCTCAATTATACATCCTTCTGACCCTCTATGAGAAGACCTTCTAACTTGTTCTATAAGAAGAGCGTATCGTCTTCTTTAAGAAGACCTTGGTGTTATCTATGACAAATCCGCCTGTCTTTTTTTTATTTTTTTTTTTTTTGAGAACAGTTTCTAGGCTTTTGTGACAAGACATTTCCACTCTTCTGTAAGAAATTTCCCGTTTTTCTATGAGACGATTTTCTGGTGTTATAAGAGGAGAACTTTCTACTTTCTGTGTTTTGGTGTTCCCATAAGTCTTCCACGCGAAGGTGTATTGGGGTTATTTATGAAGAAAAACAGGTCCATATTTCTTTATTATTAATAATTGTTTTTACTTTTCTAATTTCAGATATTAAACTTGATTACATTTCCATTAGTAAAATAATCGTAAGTAAAATCTGTTTATCTGGATATTTGTCTTAATAATTCAATTGGATTTTGTTTTTGTTTGACCAAATAAACTACCCTGAAAAAAATACTCATTACAAATGTAGTTACCGACCCATTATTTTAACAAGGACATGTGAGCACGAAATGGCTATTTATATTTTCCTAACGAAAAGCCAAAAAAAAGCAGTACTTATATGTCGCAAACATATTTCTATTTACATCTTAATGAATTTCTTTGCGGGGTATGATAGCAGATTATAATTTTTTCTCAAGTTTTTCAGAGTAGCTTGCGAACTTCATTTGTTTGTGCCACAAACTCGTTGAAATTTTAAGAGGATTCTCAGGAAATTATAAAGAATATATTTTTAGTGTACATTGCCCTCTAAGGAACATAAGAGGATATACCTTTATGTTCACTCTTATCCACATGAATTTAGAATCTACCGAACTTGTCTATCTCATACACAAATAAGTAATCCATTTCTAAGGATGTAAATAATATGCTACATACACATACATCTACAGAGGAAAATGAACGTTGTTATCCTGACTCCTGCACGTCCTGAAAAAAATTAGGTCATCCGCATTCTTGAGAACTCATTTCATATTCAAACTCATATCAGAAACTTGAGGTACATGCCAAAGGATGAAAGTTTTGCACATATCCTCGAATGTCATTGGCGTTGTTAATTAGAGTTTTTTAGCTATTTAATCATCCGGAAAGTTGAGAAACTTCCCGAAAAAAAAAACCAGTTAAAATTGTCAGTTGGTTTACCCGACAGATGTATACCCCCAGCTAATGTTCGATTATTTCAATATATTTTGACTTGGCCATGGAGTATGTTGCGAAGGAATAGGCCAATATTTTCATTTTGTATCGGACCTAAATAAATATGAATCAAATATTGCAACGTGTTAGGTTTGGGGATGAAAAAACTGCTACCAACTTCAGACTGCTGTCATTTCTAAGCCACTCGTCCGACAGCTGTTAAAATTATTCCAGTGGTAGCTTATTATATGGTCTACAAGTGTACAAAAGCATTTTGGTCTGAATTTTCCAGAAAAAAGTTATTCGTGATGGCATTGAAGCGTGATTTCTTTATAAAGGCTGTTTTTTTAAGGCTAATAGAACTTGAAATTGTAACAAATAACACAAAAAATTTAATTTTAATCAAAAAAACTTTTCTTGTTCGAAAGATCAATACGTGACATTAACATTTGAAAATAATTTCGGGCATATGGCACCGCGGCTGGTCTTGACGAAGTGCATTCTGGACGTCCAATTTTTCGAGCACTGCTTGCCGTATGTCACGAACAATGCTGGCCTTCAAGGCGTCAATTGTTGCTGGTTTATAAGCATAAACCAGTGACTTCACGTATCCCCACAGGAAATAATCGAGAGGTGTCAAATCCCACGACCTTGGAGGCCACTTGACAGGTCAACTTCTCGAAATCAATTTCGTAGCGTTTTTCAAGTGTGAGTCTATTTATGATGATTTGTCAGAGCAAAATTTAATTTTTTGTGTTACTTTTTACAATTTAAAGTTCTATCTAGCTTAAAAAAACACCCTTTATTTGGCTGGAAAACAAGTGGCTATCGTCCATTTAAATGTGGATAAATCTTTTGTGTCTCGTACAATTACCCGTTACCGTGATACTGGGGGCGTAGCCCGATTTCAAGGAAGTGGACGGAAGAAAACATCAACATAAGCAGAAATAGTTCGAAAAGTAAAGAAGCGACCTGATCCAAACCCGCGTCGCAGTGGCCGAAAAATGGCCATTCGGCAATTATTGAAAAATTAACTCGGGGTAAAGCTATTGAAATTCCAAAAAGTGCAAGAACTTACACCGCAACAGAAAGAAAATAGACTCAAAAGAGCTAAAGAGTTGCTTCGTTTGGCCGAAAGTGGTGAACTGCCGAATTTTGGTTTTCTCCGATGAGAAAACATTCGTTGTTCAGCAGTTTGTAAACAAACAAAATGGTCGTGTTTATTTGCCAAGGAGGTCAGCTGAAAATGTGCACCTTCGGTTGGCCACCAGAACTCAAGCGCCGGCCATGGTGATGGTGTGGGCCGCCATAACAGCCGATGGTCGCTGTCCGCTCGTATTAATCGACCGGTGGCATCAGAAGAAATTCCGAATAGTATCGCGAAAATATTCTAGAGGGTATGCCTTGGGCACGCAAACATTTTGGCCGCAGACCTTGGACAATTAATCAGGACTCAGCACCATTACACTCAACATGCGCCACTCAAGAATGGTTACAAAATCAGGTTCCTTGCTTTATTTCCAGCGCACAATGGCCACCAAACAGCGTCTGACGGTTTCATTGTCCGTTTGAAGGCCATAATTCGTGCCAAAGGTGACCAATTCGAACAAATCTAAACTTATTCTAAAATTTGATGCTAATTCCGACATTATTTGGTCTGATTCACAAAAATTTAAAGAAAAAATTTTAAAAAGATGGTGTTTGACGTTGTTGCAGTTTCTTTTATCTCATTTTGTATTGAGTTGTACCAAATTTGAATGTAATCGGATATTAATTTCGGGTTTCATGATACAAAATGTTGACCCTTTGTGGGAGAGGTACCAGAAGGAGTGAGCCGATTTTTTTCCATCTGCACAGCAAATCTTGTGTTAGTGGATATAATGTGATGTGTGAAATATGAAGAGAACCGTGTGCTTATTTCGGATTTTATGATAGTTTTGGCTATTCAAATCATTTACTCTTTGTGGGTGAGGTACCAGAAGAAATGGTCCGATCTCTACCATCTTTATAATAGTTCATTAGCCCATGGATATGTTAAGATGTACCAAGTCCTAATGGAATCGAATGTTGATTTCGCATTTTATGAGCTTCGCGGATATTCAAAACTTTGACTCTTTGTGGGGGGAGGTACCAAAACCAGTGGACCGATATATTCCATCTTCTCAGCAGATCTTGTGTAAGGAGAAATAATGGAATGTGTGAAATATAAAATGAACCGAATGCTTATTTCGGATTTTATGATCGTTTTTGGCTATTCGAAACTTTGACCCTTTGTGGGGGAGGTACCAGAAGGAATGTGCCGATCTCTACCATCTTTATAACAGATCTTGTGTTAATAGAAATAATTAGTTGTGCCAAGTCTCAATTGAATCGGATTGTAATTTCGCTTTTTATAAGAATATTCATGGGTATTCAAAATTTTGACCCTTTGTGATGATGTACCAGAAGGAATGGTTCCATCTCTACGGACTTTAAAACTACTCTTGTGTTGATAGAAGTATTGAGTTGTGCCAAGTTTAAAGGGAATCGGATGGAAATTTCGCGTTTTATAATGTTCAAAATTTTGACCCTTTCCGGGAGAGGTACCAGAAAGAGTGGACCGATATATTCCATCTTCATACCAGACCTTGGTTTAATAAAATTAATATGATTTGAAGACCATCGATCTCTTACATTTCACTTTATGGGTCATAATTAATAAAAATTAAGACCTTCTGTGAGGGAGGTACTTGATTAAGCGGACTGATATTGTCCATTTTCGCACCTGGCCTAGGACTGATGCAAATATTGGAATTTAGAAAGTTGGAGAAAAATCAGATTATCCTTTCTCTTTCTGTGTAGGAAAATATTTTTTGAAAAATTCGAGCTTTTGTAAGGGATGTACCAGAATGAGTGGACCTATATTTCCCATCACCGAACTCGGACAATAATATTACCAAGTTTGGGCCAAATCGGAAATTCTTTTCGAGAGCTATTGTGGGCACCCCAGACAGACGGACGGTCACCTCTATATCAACTCCAAACGTCCTGGAACGAATTTGGTCCAAAGAGACTTACAGTTTAAAACCGTTATTTCGATGAGGCGCGTTTTGCCCAAATTAAATTTATCCTCTCTAGCCATATGGCTGAGGGCATAAAACAGTGAATACTGAAAACTTAACACTGAGTAGATGGTTCCGCTGTATCACCGTTGCATTACTAAGTAATTATAACAACGACAACAGCAACAACAACCTAGTGCGGCATTGCTGCCACTTTGTCCGGCTGCCAGCAAAGTGTGATCCGAGTATACATATTTTTTGAATATTTTTCTTTTTTTTTTCAACAGAACACACAGAAACTATTTCTGAAACTTAAAACTGTTTAGAGATCCGCTGCTCACAAGACCATGTTCGAAGCATGTTGCCGGTAGAGTCAGTGGTCCAAAGCGGCTGGCAATCCACACACACACACACACACACACTCAAATTATTGTTGCATAAACAACTTGCGTTCGCGTTATGTTTTCGTATTCGTCTATTTGTTGTTATTGTTTTATTTTTGGATTTTGTTGTGCATTTAAAAAAAAAAAAAACAAACAAACAGACACAAAATTATTTCCATCTCTTTTTTTGAGCATTTAAAAAAAGCGAAAACCAAAAAAAAAAAAAAAAAAAAAAAAAAAAAACTCAAAACTTTAAATTACGACAAACGCATTCTAATGGAGGCCAAAGATAGATTGCTATGCGCTTGGCTGACTACTTGGTTAGTTGGTCGGTCGTTGGTGTACAAATGTTCGAATGGATTGCTGGCTGGCTGGTTGGATGGACGGATGACTGGATGCAATGCTTGCAATGATGGATGAATTGATTTGGCCACTGCCTCTGGGCAACACCACAGAGTCGTCACTACGTACACACGATGGTACGCACGCATTCTCAATTAGGCCAGTTTGGTCATAGGAAACGCCACACATCGTCATCATCATCAAGAAAAGTTCATTTAATTGAACCATAGAAATTGTTCCAGTTTTGGTATTGGAGGTCTTTTTGTTGTTGTCGTCGTTGTTGTTTGCTGTTTCTGAAATATCTTCTAATTTCAAATACTTCTTCTTGCCTACGAGTACGAATTTGATGAAGAGGAGCCTACATCAAATTCATTTGGAATTGATCGACTTTTCTTGTCATATTTCATTTCCATTGCCATTCAAGCGATGCATCAACGATTTTGTTTTTAATCGCTTTTTGCA